CATTTCACAAATCTCGAGACAAGGAGAAAGACAGAGAAAACTACTTAGAACTCATGGGGAAAGCACAACAAAACTCGGAATTCATATATAAAATCAAAGTCATACAAACTATAACAAGTAAATAACTTATCTCTAAATTTCTCCCCAATAACACTTCTCGAAGTTCCTCTGAATCTCTTCCTTTCTTTACAGCACACGGAATTCATCTTTGAAGTAGCAAGGAGGAAGAAATCTCTCACTTTCCCTCCACTCTTACAATTTCTCGAAGAATTCCTCACAGTTACACGCTCTAGCAAGCTCTCTACACACAAATGGAACATATCTAACCTCAAGGACTCCCTTATTTTTGGCCAAAATCTTTTCTTTAAAGATGTGGATGAGTTTTCTGAAGAGTTGCTTATGTACCCCTTTTCCAAAATCCGGCCTTATCCATTGTACAAGTACACATAACCGTCGATCCTGCCGTCGACGGCCTCGATGATGTCGTCGGCTGCCTTCTGGAGATTTTGTCCTGTAGTCTCGGGAAAAGTTCGCAGTCGGCGGCGTCGGTGGGGGCGGCGCGGGGCGTCGATGGCACCGTCGGCGCCCTAGTGCAATTCTCCACATTTTGGTCCTTTTTGCTCCAAATTCACTCTTTTTTGCATTTTTTTGCTCCATTAATCTTAATTCATCATTCTTGCAACAAAACATCAAAAATACCTTTCTTTAAAATGCAATATTATTAAAAACAGTATAAAAGAGGTACGAAAATCTCAACATATTTTACTTTGGTCAATGACCACTATACACAATGTTCGTGATAATGGAGCATCCCGCTCCAACACACATCGTTTCCGGGAGCACTCACGAAGCCAAGGGCGGCATGCTTCTTCATCTTCCTGCCCTGGAAGACGTTATCATGCTAATGAAGGTGTTTTGGGTCCTTCTATAGAATATTGAATGTGTAGAAGGAGGAGTCTCAACTAGAGATCCTACAACTCCTATGCGGGGCTCAACAACCACTACCTACACCATTAGATCCACAACGTAAGAGAAACATACCGCTCGGAGGAACTCAT